GAATTCATTTGGAATAAAACCCTTTGGCTAATCGGAAGGACCTGGTAATGTATTAACTATTAGTGAAACTACCACGAAACTAACCCTGATGCTGGACCCCCCCCGGCATGATTTCATGTGTTGTCAGAGTTGGATGCCTGTATGTGTGGATACACCTCATATTTCCCATCAGCTTTGCAGTCTGACCTTAAAGGCTTAGCACAAACAAGGAGCCTTTCAGTTCCAGAGTGTTTTCACAGCGTATGGAGGCTGATTTGGAGATAGAAGCACACTCGGGGGCTGCCTGCTGCTGTGGGGGTCTGCTGGGGGTCCCGGTCCAAGCCCAGCTGGTTCTGTCTGTGAGGACTTTGTATGTTCTTCCCGTTCTCATGGCTTCTGGCCCACCACGCCATGCTAAACCCAGATGGGGAGTTGATGTTTGGTTGCCTCTGTGTGGGCCGGTGATGGACGGGGTGTACCCCCCCTCGCCCGATGGCAGCCCTTATGAACACATACTCAGTTGGAAAATGGATGGACCTAATGCTTAAATCAGGTGAAACCATGTGAAAAACGGTTCTACCTGTTGGCTCTTAATCTTCATTTGAGTAGAATCAAAAGGGTAGTTAACCTCAACCATCAGTGTCTAACCAACTGATAAACAGGAATACCTTTATTCAATTGATATCAAGACCTCAGATGGCAGTAAATCATTTCTTATTAGAAATGCCCTCCCCAGCGTGTGTTTTGCTGTTTGGGGTCTAGTTTGCGGTGAGTGGGAGTGGCCCAGTAGTTCTTGTGGAGCATAAGGCCCACCCAGAGGGGCTAAAGTCTGATTCTCCTACCGTCCTGCACAACTCTACCTCGGACTGTCCAGTGAAGACAGGAAGCTGAAGAAAGCTGTCACTCAGCTGGACCCTTCCTTTAAAAGAGTCCTCTCAGAGTCCTCCAGTTTAAGCCCTTCAGGGGGGTGAGCACCGGTAGGTGGACGCTGTGCCCCGCAGCCCCCTTACGGCGGACTTAAACTGAGCCACTGGAAAGAGGGAATCCATTTTTGTGGAGTCTCGGTTCTGTGATCAGGAACAGAACAGCAGACGTAGAACAGTATCCAGCAGTGGGCCCTGGCAGTGCAGAAGACCCCCCCCTTCAGAGGGGAGAGAGGTGGTGGGCCTACAGAGCCTCTCCTCCTGGGCTGCCCAGCACATCAGAGCGCCCCCCCACAGCCTGGGCAGCCCGGGTGGGGGGGGGCAGCCGGACTCACAGCTGCAGAAGCATCAGGGAGGTTTTCTGTGAAGGATTCAGAATTCTGCTGCCAGAATCAGAACCACCTCTGAACATTAGTTTTCCGTCTAAAGCCTCATCACAGACTCACACTGCTGCAGGCCTCACAGCTCCTGGGAGGGGGGGCACAGCTCTGACAGAGTTCTCACCAGAAACTGACTCCTGCCATGCTGATGGACGTGTCTGTTCACAGTGAAGTTGCTTTGTAAAAAACTCTTGTGTGTCAGTGGTTGAAACGTGCTGAATGATCAACCACTGAATCTCTTTGAATGCATACTTTACCTTTCTGCTCTGGGTCTGCAGCGGGGGGGAGTTTGACCTAAATGTCTCCGCTCAAAGCTTAGCCAGCGGGAGCTGCTCTGGGTGGGAATCTCTCTCAGAGCCCCGGGGCCTTTGGCTGGTGCAGGAACACATCTGGTCAGTGAGCGATGACAGTGGGGGTCCTTTAACCCACAATCACATGTTGAATCTGTCTCACATTAGTTTACAACAAATCACTCAAATGAGACCAAACTGCACACCTGGCACTCATGCTGGGCTCCTCTGGCTACAGCACAGATCCACACCTGCATGCTCAGTCCTGAGCACCCATCAGCAGGGATCATGCCCGGGACGGCAGGTGTGTAGTTGATGTGGGTGCCAGATGAGGGAGACAGAGGCTCTGCTGGCTGAAGTCTGTGGATGGGATGCCTTTAAATAAAGTCCTGTGGATGAACTATACTCATCAGTAACAGGGGGGCAGAATTCCCATGGTGCTTTGCAGTTTGTGGCAGCAGCTCACCTTTCATCACCCTCTGCTTTACTTAGATTTGGCGATGGCTCAGTCATCCACATGCTAGTTTGGGGCTTTCTGCCATCCTGGGGATAGAGCCCTGAGTGAGGCTCTCCCAGTGATGCCTCCTCAGGCTGCGTGAGGGGGCGTGCCCCGCGCTATAAAGAGTAAATGGCTAAGTAAGTGTGTTGACATGGCTGCAGGGAGCCGGTGTGAGGAGGCTAAGAGCTGCACCCCCCAGAGCTGTGCTGCCCTCATGCACTTCACTCACTGTTCTCACCTCATTCAGGACTCTCTCGCTCTCTCTTGTTTATGCAAAAGTAATGTGTACAGTTTGTTCTAATCCGTCTCATGAGCTCTACTCTGAGAAACAACTTTGAATGTTAGGACGGGTTTTAGGAACAAATCATGACATTCTGGAGCTGTTCTCCACTCCCATGTGTTTGTGCTGTGTGTAATGTTGCTGGCATGGCTTTACAGAACCAGATAAAGCACTGACAGGAAAACGTGGAAATCGAAGGAGTAAGACAGGTTTAAGTGGCAGGATTAAGCCTATAAATGTGGAATTTCTATTGATTTTAAGGTTCTACTATGAGTAATTCAGAGATGTCATAGAAAATCAGATTGTGGGAGTTCAGGGGACAAATGTCAGAACTAATGACCAGGAGTGGAGCTGTGGATTGTGAGTGGGATTAAGGTGAAGGAATGTTGCATAAATATATAGTTCAAAGGTCAGTCTTCTGAGAAAATTCTCTGGAATCTCAGATTGCCTTCATTCTGTTGTTTTGAATGAGAAATAAGCGGTGAAATGGTGTAATGTAACACAGAGAAGATTAAAAGTGCCTCTACTATACAGAGCATTTTTGATGACTCAGTATTACGGTACTGAGTTTTGCATTATTAGTAATAAAGTATGTATGATCTATACACACTTATCATGAAATGCAAAGGAATTAGTTTGAAGTGGACTTATTCTTCTATAAGGAGGAGGAGGATTACCTAAACCCTGTTGCACAATTGCTGAGCAGCAAAACACTGACAGTTCCAGTGGCAACTGATTACAGCCTGCACTCTGCCCACTTTTTCCAAATGGGCTTTTGATTAAGTGGCTGTGAGCATAACACCTGCACTGTTTTTAAAGACCAGTGTTGCTGATAAAACACCAATACCGTTTTAGTATACCAAATCTAAGGATGTCTTTGGAAGGAGAGTGGAGTAATGGCTGCCACGTCTGGCTCACGCCTGCGTGGATCCACAGATTGATACAACTCCAACAGCACAGAGGGGAACAACCAAGGACATAATTTGTGGTGACGTGTCCCCAAAGTGTCCATAGTGGACATAATGGGACTGGATTGGGAGGATGTTATGTCTTTCATGGTCCTTCACAGACCATTGAACAATGAGAACACATTTACTGTAATTGCTCTGCTGATGTGTGACCTCCCCTCCAGAAACCAGTTTGTGTCACAGCATGTGCTTAAAAGTTGGAGAGGAACAACTGCTTCTAGGTTCACTGTGTCTGTGAAATGTCACAGTCATTATTTTAATATTAATGTTGCAATGTTGAGGATTATATAGTCCAATGAGAATGCATTGACACAAAATGGGAATTAAAAACCTTTGACTATAAAGCACAGATGACCAAAGTTTTACAATGTGTGGAAAGATAAAAAGTAGAGAAGCAGTTAAGCGAATAAGCATATCCGTCTGCTTATATCTGCTATGAACAACGCCTCAGAGGCACCACTTCAGCGGTTTTTAAAACAGCTTTATTCATTAAACGGCCTCCAGCTCAGAGTGCTGGTTAAGAAAGCCTAGAGCGGTCTTCCAGACAGCTCAAAAAGCAAAACAACACTACATTTAGTGAACCACCTGACCAGAGTCCAGCAGCCCGTAGTGAGTTCAATGGGATTTTAAAATGGGAAAGGAGGGAGCCAACTTAACACCTAAATATCCTGCTATTGTCAAGCCTTATCAGTTCCAGCTTAATCATTCCCCAACATTTTATGATTCCACACACCCTAATGCCAAAAGTTTATCACATATATTTGATTCAAACGGAGGAAATACAATCACTGCCCAGGTTTAGATATGATGTTATTGTCGTTGTAGTAAGCTTCCATACAAAGCAACATAACTCTGTAAATCAAGTCACATGCCATCAGATCAGTGTTTGATTAGTTAGCAGGTAACCAGGAGCTGCTTATTGTATTCAGAGGTCTGAACAGTCCTCCAGAAGAAGGGCCTGAGCTGCCTGTACTATCTGAGGAGGCTCAGCTCCTGTCGTCCTGCTAGAGTTTGTGGCTCTGGTTCTCTGCGGTGGTCTGGGGTGCAGGCAAAGGACGCATGTATAGGTCATAAAATATGAATTAACATGCTTTGTAAAAGTTCTAAATGTACTGGGTTACAGTGGACCGTCCCAACCAGCTCATACTCGGGACATCTCCGCTACTCGTACTGCCCACCTGCCGTGCTGGTCAGTAGCAGCTTCGGCCACTTTGTCCTCTGACCCACTCTCCAGATCAGGCAGGGTTGATGGTGTCAGTGTTTGGCTGCTTGCTGCAGGGCCATTTTCTGGATTTTTACTTGAACGTTTTAGAAGGAAATGACACATGTAATTGTGACTAGATGGCAACCTTTGTTCACTGATTTTGGTTATAAGGGGGATGTGGGGACTCTGGATGGAAAATGATTTTACACCCGTCCATTACTTATGCTGCTTATTTGTAGTAGGGTGGAGGGCTGGAGCCTATCCCCGCTGCCATGGACAGGAGACCTGCTCAGGGTGTAGCCCGCCTCTCGCCCACATTTTACAGAAACACCAGATTTGACCAAGAGCCAAAACCAGATCAGGCTCTGTCGGTACTGTTTCTGAATAAGTTCTCCCATGACAGAACTTGTATAGTCAATAAAACTGTCCTTTGTGTTTTATTGACATACTCTTTCTTTATTTTCTGATTTGGCATTCAGGAGGGTTCTTGATTCCGTATCTCATCATGCTGCTTCTGGAGGGAGTCCCCTTGTTCTATATGGAGCTCGCCATTGGTCAGAAGATGCGATTAGGCAGCATTGGAGCATGGTCTGCCATCAGCCCATATCTGGGAGGTGTTGGTAAGTGTTAGCTTGTACATTAGTGAGTAACTGTTGATTAAAAAGGTATTAAATACAGATTATTAGATACAGTAAATGAGATGCTAAAACATCTGGTGGTGGTTCTGTTTTTGTACACCTGCTGGTAACTGGTCACTGAATAATGCTTTCTGAATGGAGAAGAGTTACTTTTGTGATATAAAACTAAAGTCTATCAGTATGTGTTTCTTGGGTTTTGATAGATAGAGCTTTGATGCAAATGACTAAGCTCCGAAGTACAAGTCTGCAAGCCTGCTTTCTTTTGGATGTCTTTTGATCGTTCATTGTTTTCTGTCATACTCTTATTTTAGGTCTCGCTAGTGTGATGACATCCTTGTACCTATGTCTATATTACAACATCATCAATGCATGGAGTTTTTGGTACCTCTTCCAGTCCTTCCAAGTGAGTTGCTAATTCATGAATAGCACAGTTGTCCAGTGGCCGATGCCTCTGCTTTCCATACGTAACGCAGGGTCTCATTTGAACCATGTGGTAACACATCTCTGCTTCTCTTTGGTCATTCCCATCCCAGTCAGTCTTGCCCTGGGCAGTTTGTCCAATAAACTCCAACAAAACAGGACCTATAGAGGAATGTGAAAAGGCTACACCTACCCAGTACTTCTTCTACAGGGAAACACTGAATATCTCCTCCTCCATTGAGGAAAATGGAGGTATTCATACTGGTCAGGCGCTGTGCCTGCTGCTGGCATGGGTGATTACGTACCTGTTCATTATCCGGGGAGTCAAGTCAACTGGAAAGGTAAGAGAGATTTCTATCCATATAAAAGTGTCTGTTGTAGGTTAGCAGTGCAATGGACTGCTAACCTACAACAGCTTAGAGACAAAAGCTTAGGGACTCTCTTCTTGGCATTACTCCAGTCAGCCACTGGCTTCATTTGAATCACCAGCGGGACACACACAACAATCCATCCAGTGCTATGCTGTGCCACCAGCACCTGACATGTCAGTACCCAGAAGGCTCACTGGTTGCTGCTTCACTAGGGGGGGGGGGTGGCTTCTGTGTCTGTGACATCCAGAGGAGCTGAAGCGATGACATTGGCTTCTTTTCTGCACTCTTTGGCAACTAGTTCAACCAGATTTACCTATCTAATAGTCGGACTCATTTTTAGTTAACTTGGCCACACCGTCTTATTTAGCTTATGAAAAAGGCCAGCTGGCAGAAGTAAACCAGCCAGTTAAATTGTAGTTGGTAAGGCTAGTACACCCAGCCATACAGACGCACACATGTACCCTACAGGACGTTTTCACACAGAAGGCTGTTTCTGATTTGATCTTTTTTTTTTTTTTTTACAGTTTTGTTAATAATAAAAGGGAGGAAATTCAATATAAAGTCAGATCATTCTAATTAACTTTTTTTTTAAAGTCAACACACATTCTCATGGAATAGCTCTCTTAGGTAGCCTGTGGCTTTCTTAGTAGACACAGGGTGATATGTCCACTTTTTCTGTCCCGTCTTACCTTAGCCTACTCTGACCAGCATTCATTCAGATTTTCGTGCACGGGGAAACGTGTTCCTGCTGTGCACACTACAGTAGCTGCCACCCTTTTGCCAAAAATGGATTCAAGTGCTGACATCCATTTGAATCTCACCAGTACTTTGTCCTGTCTGGTCTCTTTAGGTTGTGTACTTTACTGCCACATTTCCTTATGTGGTTCTCTTTATCTACCTGATTCGGGGGATTACTCTGCATGGAGCAGTCAACGGTATCAAGTACATGTTCACACCAAAGGTGAGTCTGGATCTGGATCTTGGAATCTACCCAATGGCTGCTGAATGTCATTTCGTGACTTTAACTGTGCATGTGCTTCTCAGATGGAACAACTTGCCAATCCTACTACTTGGATCAATGCGGCCACTCAGATCTTCTTCTCACTGGGTTTGGGTTTTGGGTCCCTGATAGCCTTTTCCAGCTACAACCAGTACCACAACAACTTTGAGCGCCAGGCCATCATTGTGTCTCTCATCAACAGTGGAACTTCCATCTTTGCCAGCATTGTCACCTTTGCTATCTATGGATTCAAGGCTACTGTCAACTATGAGAATTGCCTGGACAGGTGTGTTAAGGTCTGAACTCGGTACCTGCATACATCAGCCCAATGTCCGTCCCCTACAACAGGGCACAGCGGTTTCCTCATGAGGAAACTAATCAGCTCAGCAGGACTACAGACAAAGAACGCAAGGCAATGAAAGAAGACAAAGCCAAATATGTAGAGGCAGAGGCAGAGAAAACGTTCAGGGGGAAGGGAGGGTACAAACCAACAATCTAAATGATAGTAGTAAACATCTGTAGTCCTAAATAGAGCTGACATCATTTAACCTACTGTAGATCTCGTGGGAAGTTAGTCTATTAAATGTGTCCTCTCATTTGGCCACTCTCCATCAGCTGTAAAACAAACAAAAAAATCTAAACAGATATGAAAGGAAATAGAAAAACTAAATTAATTTAGTTAGTTTGATTTTGGTAAGCAAACTTGTGCTCCATTTTATAATAATAATGAAACGTTTGGTTTCAAAGTAAAACAGAATATGATAATAGATTATAGGCTTAGCTTAGCAGATGAAAACTCTCCAGAACTTTATGTTCATGGTGAAAACCGTGGGGAGTCTAATGGTCTGTTTTTCTGCTCTTGTAGGACTCGCCTATTGCTGCTGAACACCTTCAGTCTGGCTGAAGATAGCATCAGTCAAGACACGGTCTTTGAGTGGATAGAGAGGCTGAACTCAACATACCCGCAGCAGTTCGCTGAGATCTCCGGCCAGCTGGAGGACTGCAACCTCGAGGGTGAACTAAACACTGTGAGTTCCTCACAATTCTTTTGCTCCCAGAAAGAGCTTTATGCACTAATACAGGTAAAATAAATGTTTTCCCCAGCTTTTATTGAAAAGAATGTGGTGTATGTAGCATAAGGGCATGCAGTCAGTGGAGTCTGTAAGACACCTACTAACATCCATTTTTCTAAGGAATGAAAACGCTCTAGTTTTGTAGTGTTTTGTAGTGTCCTTTTATACACTATTTGTGTATATATGTATTGGCTGAATTAATCTGTGAAGAAAAGAAGCCCTGAAAGGTTTCAGTGTGGAAACTCTGTCTGCCTACCCTTATTCACTGTGACTTTTATTACACTTTTACCTACTGTTTCAAGATCCCCAGAAGCTAAAACAGAAGCTTCACTATCAGTTCAATTAGAACAGCTCTTCTCAACCTTTTTAGAGAAAGCCCATTTTAACAGGGACGTGGGTACATTTCCTATGATTGCATGTATTATCTGAACACAGTTATGTGGACATGCAGATCTGTTTTTTGTATACATACTAAACAAATATATATATATATATATATATACACACTTGTGATGTATGTCCACCTGTTGTTGGCTTTTAGGGAACAACAACACACTTCCAGAAATGTTCTCAGAGGGGGGCTATGTTGGACTACCAACTGAGTATTCTAATCAAAGATATAAGCACAACTATCTTCTGCATTTAGATTCCATTCAGCATATGTTAAGCACTGTCTGTGATGTAAGCAGCCTCTGAGGGCTCAGCACACAGACTCTATTACAGGAGGAAGTAGTAAGAGTCTCAAAAAGTCCTGGCCATCTGTTTTGGCTCCTGAAAGAGTCCTGCTCAGAACACTCAGAGCCGCACAGACTGAAAGTAGGACTACACTGAGAGGGCAGCCTGAGCTGGAAAGACATTTCCTAGGACGTGCGACTTTTGATGCGGCTAATCTGAGACCAATGTGCTAAAAGGAGCACAACATGGGATCTTTAAAGGAGTGGTTGTTAAACTGGGAGCCAAAGTTTTACAAACATGATTAAATCAGTACTCTGAATACTAAGAACAGCTATACACATCAGATGGTCACTGGGAAAAGTCCAGACATTGCCAAGAAATGTACTGAACAATGCAGAAGTTTGTTTCCTGTCCTGTGCAGTGTTTTAAGGAGTGTCTTTGAATGAGGCTTTATTGCTGCATCTGCTCAGAATTTTAATTTGTTGATAAAATGAGAGGGTCAACTGAACACAACCCTTTAAAAGAGTTTGATCAATACTAGCATTTGTGTCTCACGTTCAGCTTTAGTTAGATCACCTCTCCTGTTGCACGGCTGGTCCTGAATAACTACTGTACGATCAGATTCAACACCTGGCACATTTTCCTGTCCATTATCTCTCTATTTGTGATTTTAAACACTACGTTAATGATTGATCAGTTACAGAATATCACTGTGAGACTTCATCTTAAACTAAACAAGCTACAAACCGGAGTACAAAAATAGTTTTTCACATGTCTCTACATGGCATCAAACAAACGTTTTGGGGATTTGTTCTGGGGGAAGCCCAATAATAGTAGTCATAATAATAAAGAGTTACAGCACTTCCATCCTGAAGGAGCAAATACTCAGAGCAGTTTTCTGATCACTGAGACAGGAGGCTCCGCTTTTGAAGACGTTATGAGGAGAAAAGAGGGCAGAAAGATTTTTGAAAATGAGAGTCAAAGTTTTTCTCTCTGTAGGGCTAGAAGCCAAAGAATTGCCATTGAGAGTAACTATTTAACTAGACGGTTCATCCCATGGGTGCTGAGGTCCAAAGTTTGTGCAAAGTTAGCAACAAGAAATTCTGAGGTGTCCGTGTCTTCAAAACGGGCGCATCCTCGTTCTCTGTCCTCTTTGTGGGCCAGCAGCAGCTCTACCTCTGTAGCATACCTCTTTTGCCAAATGACACATGCTCTTCTCTACTAGTAGTTTTGTCATGTTATTGCTTTCATCCACATGCCCCTGATCATTTCAGAATTTCCAGGAATGTTTCCAATCTAATTTGTACAGAAATGTACAGGGTACAAAAATCAGTCCAAGAAAATATGCAGAGCAGTTTCATCAAATCCAAACCACCAACAAACTGATATAATACAGTCAATCCTTCCATTTCCATCATTTCAATGCATTTGGAAGAATGTTGCACCAGACACAGCTGTGCAAACACTCCGTCCTCCGGGGCAGTTTAGCTCCTCTGAACCTCTGCTTGTGTTCTTAGTCATGATCACTAGTTCTAATTGGTCTAAATATCCCCTCACTGGCTGCTCGAAACAAATACTTGTTCTAATAATGTAACTCTAAGCAGTTCCCAATTTGGCCATTTTCTGTTGCTGCATAGTTCTTTGGATGAAGCTTTTAAAAAGACACAAGGCTCATCCCATTCACGCTCCCAGGTCACAGTTTTTCAGGTTTACACTGACATCCTACTGCACGCTCAGATATACTTAGTCCCTCTTGTTGAAAAAGTTAATCCTCAGAAAACAGGACTTGTGAAAACCAAGCCTGACATATTAGTTTTTACTGAAGAAAGACCGCTTTTTTCCGGACTTTGTGAAGTTCAGACTGAGTCTGGCTCTTCTAGTCTGAACAGGATGGAGAACAACAAGGAGATACAACTGTTCATTACACTCTGTAAAACCTGGCCATCACAAACAACATCACTCCTTTAAAGACTAGAAGAAAAGTTTGAAAAATGTAGAGGTCAAGTTTGAAATTCACAAAAAATATTTTCTTCCCTTCATTAAAACCTGTCAGGTTGATATCTAACCACTCGCCCTCAGCACTAAAAGCATAGGCTTTACCAATACGTCCCGTGTCTGAGAAAGTGTCAAGTGAAATCAGTTCAAGTGGGTTTTTGGGGGTGGGACATGGACAATCAATCACTGTGTATTGAGCTCTTGGTTATGGAGGTGAAGTGGGGCCTTGGGAAACCTCTTTTGCATGATACTCTTCCTGTTGAAGGTTAGAGATGAGGAAGAACAAAGGGTGCTCCGGGGTCAGTAACTTGTCATTTTTCATCAGATCTGTGTTTTTGTCTCTTTCAGGCTGTGGAGGGGGCAGGTCTGGCTTTCATAGTGTACAGTGAGGCCATTAAGAACATGCCTTTGTCTCAGTTCTGGTCTGTGCTGTACTTCTTCATGCTCCTGCTGCTGGGAATGGGGAGCATGCTTGGCAACGTCACAGCCATCATCACCCCACTGCGCGACTTCAAAATCATCTCCCGCCTGAGTACTGAGCTCTGTAACGGTGAGGAGCAGATTGATGTCTGTCGCCCCAGTCTTTGCTGTATCACCTTCACAAAAATGTTGAAGCAGTGGAGCATTTCATTCTGGTTTGAATAGTTTTAAACATCGGAGATACTCGTTTGGCAGCTTCATGAGGCAAAGATGAATGCACGGACAGGGGGAAACCTGTTAAACACTGACTAATTAAATACCCATGTAGCTGACCCTGAAGGGCAGCAGCTGTGTAAAGAAATAGTTTCTGACCAGTAGGTTAGGTATTCCTCCAGTCCTACAGGGAGAGAGCCTACAGCTATAGAAGAGGAGTGGAGACTACTGCAGTCAAACGTATATGGGATTCTACATTTAAAGGCCCATAAGCCTCCAGTGCTACTCATTGATTGCAGGGTGGGGTGGTTAAGGTTAGCTTGATAGAAGTATAAAAGCTACCAGACGAGTCAGGCTAAAAATGAACAAATATGGCTTAGCAATTCTAAAAGTGGAGGTCCGCTTTTTATTTTGATACAAAAATCTGGAAAGACAAAATTAGCAGAACTTGTAGATTTAAGATATTCCACTTAGAGTTAGTGCCCCGTAATGATTGATTAGTTGGGTGAAGGTGTGAATTTTCTCCATAATCACTCAGATGAGCGCCACCGTTAGAAACGCTGTTCCTCTGATACCAACAGGATGAGAAGAGGGGTGTGAATAACTGGAGGCTGACTTCTTTGCAGGGATAGTGTGTGTGTTCTGCCTGCTGCTTGGCCTGGGCTTCACCACCACATCCGGGAATTACTGGTTTACCATGTTTAACGACTACGGAGCCACTTTCTCGCTGCTGTTTATCGTCCTGATCGAGGTCATCTCAGTCAGCTACATCTATGGAATTAAAAGGTATGTGTTTGATTGTAAGAGCTTGATGGGCTCTCAGTTTTGATTTGTTTTGTCTAAAGTAGCAGTGGCAGCCAAGGGTAGCCCTTTCAGACATCCTGCTGGTCTGGGATCTGACCGCTACGGAGCGCTCCCTGGTGCTTTTACAGTACGCTTTTTTGTACGCAACACTGATGCATAACTTTCAGCTCAGTCCTAACTTTAAGCTGCATTAACCGACAGGAACACTTAAGAATCCATTTGACAGCATGTGGCGATGCATGAAACAGGCCCAAAGCAAAGGCTGGTTTGATGGGTACAGATAAACAGGTGAAGATCTGTGACAGAGGCATTTATCTAGATATTTTTATGGGATTTTAATAGCCAAACATATACTTTTAAAACATGGAGGGTTCAGGTAGACTGATTTAGTGTTACATGAAATGCATTACCAAACTTCAGTACTGTGGGAAACACACATTTAGCCCACACATTTTGTTTAGGGCTTTAAAATCACAGCCTCTAGTCTCAGCCTGATGGGTCAGCATCCACCAGCATTTAGTTGAACTCTTTTTTTATTCATACTTTACAATAAGCTCACATTTGAAAGGATCGATGTCTTAAAGCAGGTTTCTTCCACTGGCAGCATGTTTTTCTGGAGCCCTTTGTGTCTAACACTATAATATGAACTGCTGTGGTGATTGGGAGAACTCAGATTTTATGATGTAGGGACCAGTCTCAGACAAATGGTAAGTATTACTTATGCACTGTTGCAATCACGTTTGTAGGTAGAAACCGTTCGTTTAGGCGAGTTGGACTGACAGAAACCTTCTCATCATTAGCTGAGCTGTCTGCATTAATATAAAACATTTTATGGGTTTCATTCTCCACAAAGGTTTGAGCACAGCTTGGCTCAGAGTGGACCGTCTTCCTTGCTTAATAATTAACATTTTCAATGCATTTTCTATTGATTTAAGGTTTGAAAAAGACATAGAGGACATGCTTGGTCATCGTCCCAGCTGGTTCTGGAAGATTATGTGGGCAGGAGTGAGTCCCCTTCTACTTATTGGCCTCTTCCTATTCTATATTGTCAACTACATCCAGGGAGGGACGCCCACCTACCAAGCGTGGGACAAAGATCTGGTGGGTTTTGGACTTTTTCATTCTATAACTGATGCACATGCTCATTTTTACTGTCCAAGCTGGTTTGGTCTCACATGTCGGGTATTGTACTAGCAGAATCACAGCAGAGTAGAAATAACTAACTTCAATAACTTTGAATATGATCCAGGGCGTACATGAATGGCATTAAAACTGTCTCTGTTCTTTGCTATACCTTTGTAAATACCTGTTCTACGCCACTATCTTTGCACTTTGAACACCAAAATTACCCCGGATGAGAAACATTTAGCATTAGACTATGAACAATACCCTTCCATGTCTTTGTGATTTGCCTAAAGTCATAGTTAGTTATTCAGTTAAGTTCTTCTTTATTGCTAGAATCAAATTAATTGTAATTCAGCAGTTCAAATCCACTAAGGATAAACTAAATCAGATCCTTCAGAGCCGATTAAAAAAGAGACGAGCCGATTCCACCCAATGTCCTTTTTGATCCAATCCCAACATGAGTGGTCATGAGACAACTGTGGCAAGAAAAAACTGACCAGACTGAGGAGGAGCCTCCATTTCCGTTGGCCAGCAGGGTGTGAGGAGACAGGAAAGACGGACAACAAACACCACCACAGCAGCTCAGGAAACCTGAAAAGAAGGAGAAACAACAGATAATGACAACAATAATGTATTGTGTACATGAAGAAAAGGGGGCAAAAAGGGGAAACAGAGGGAGGAGAGGTGCATCATGGGAGCCATGACAATTTCACATGGAGCAATGAACCAAAGCTGAAATTGGAGAAATATGATATCTGCTGGTGGTTTTCATCAAATACGTGGCTCCAGATTTTTGGAGCAGCTGGAGGCTTTTCAGATAGTTTTAGAACAGCATGATAATAAAGACTGGTCCCAGTCGTCCAAACCTGTAGTAATGAATGCAGGTTTTAGTTTCTCTGCATCACTGAGACAGAATGTGACAAAGGAACAGTACTATAAAACCTATACTGTATGTGACTGAAATGACAGATTCTGATCAAACACTACTCCACTGTAGGACTTGATGCCAGAGAAATGTGATCTAGAATAACCATGTATCTGAACAGCCTGAATTCAGATGAGGGACATGCAGTCATCCAGCTCTTTAAGACATGATGGAAGACAACTGACTGGTTTCTCCTGGTTTCACTTGTCGGTAAAACTGAGTATCATCAGCAAAACATTGGAAATGTTTACCTTGTTGTCGGATAATGTTACCTAATGGAAGCAGCTATGAAGGGAACAGAACTGGTCCCAATACAGAACTCTGAGGAACTATATGACTGTGGGAGGAAGACGAACAACCTGGAATCTGTCAGACAAATCTGACCTATATGTATAAGTTTAATGCAGTTCAACTGTATTTAGCCAGGAAAAAAAGCCAAATGAGATTGAAAGTCTATATTCTCCAGCACTGTCCAGTCCAGAGCAAAGTATGGGGTATACTAGGTATTGGATGGCTGGCTGCTGCCTGCAGCAGCTGGCCAGATGATGGAACCCTGTAGTATCAGCTCCACATTAGCTGGTTAGCTCTGCCGGAATGCCTGTGGAACTGCTGACCCACTGAGGTCCGGTCTAAACTGTACTTTTTCATCCTCAGGGTAAATCAGTTAAGGTGGAGTACCCTATCTTTGGCCAAGTCTTCATTGGGCTGCTGCTGGTGTCATCAGTGAGCTGCATACCCCTCACAGCTCTCTATGCCTTCTGTCAAAAGAGAAGATACGGGAATCACCACAAGCAGCAGCAAACTGTCAGCACAGTTACTCCTTAGTGACCAGACTTAGTGCCGAGGACTGACCTCCTGCCATGATGCTCCATCACCCGTCCTACACCTCATCTTGTCTGTGGCCACCAGACAAACAGCACCAGTGTATATCTGAAGACTCCTATATGAAGAAGTACAAAAGTTTGACTAGTCAGACATTGTTTAAAAACCTATTCCAACATATAGCTTTACATATACATAAGTTAATTGAAATTGGAGTAGGATAATAAGTGGTCGAATGTAGATTTTTAGCTTCCACGATGAGCTTTCAAATGTAGCGGTTGATAACCTTTTTATAATATCTTAAGCTTTGTAAAGAAGTCATGCTGCTTCACATTCAGACTAAAATGTTCATTTTCCTGAATGAGCCACACCATGAATGGATTAATCAGTGAAGAGTGTTTCTAAAACTGAAATTGAACAGTTAGATTGTAACAGCACTGGGTGTCACTGGCATCTGTCTGTTGACAGTTTTCAGTGGAACGTGAGAAAAAGAGGAGCTTGTTTCACTATCACCAAAACAATATATATTTTTAAAGGACAAAGGTCTTTTGAAATGAATGTGGGAGCAGTTGCAAAAACTAATCACGACTGTATTTTGTTTCGCTTTTTGATACCATGATTGAAGTGTTGTTGAAATGATAGTCTATTCATTGAAAGATAGCTTTCTTTATTGCAATAATGAGCAGATGTAAACGTGCCGACTTTGTAAGAAGGTGTAAAAAAATGTACTTTTCTGGCATAAGTATTTTTTGATAACTAGTTTTATATCTATTTTTTTATCTCTCCTTGCTAACAGACTTTAATCATTAACCAAAAAGTACTATTTTAATCCGTAGTAGCTCTGTTACATCAAACATGAATTCACAACAGAAGCCTTTCAAATGTACAGTCTTAAATACACTGTAGGTATTTGTTATCAATAAAAAAAATTGTCGACCATTAAGTACTTGATAAGATGCTATGATAATCTGTGGCAATGAACTCCCATTAAGAAATAGTTAAATGCCAATTATCAATAATACATCATATCTCACGGGTCGTCATTTGTTGTCTTTTTCAGATTTATGGGGATGTGTTTTTTATCAAATAAATATTAGGCTCATGCTTATAATTGTATGTATTCTTGTTGTTAATATCTTGTGAAGACCTCTTCTAGTATTTTTACTCATAAGTTAATGGTAAATAGTCTTGGACTTGTTGCACTTTTTCAGTCAAACTGACTACTCAAAGTGTTTTACACTTCATTTCATTCACCCACTCGCACACACACTTGTGCACTGATAGACAAAAAATGTCCAAGGCATTAAAAAAAGTTGAACATGAGATAAGTCTTTATGTGGACAATATATTACTTTTCCTCTTTATCTCTCACCAACACAATCCCACAAATAAATGAGTTGTCAGCACTTTCTGACCACTCCATTAACTGGTCAAAGTCTACAGTTCTGCCTGTTCATCACACTCCCCAAAATATATCAACTACAATGCAACAGTACGGGAGCATTAGATACTTGGTAAGACACATTTTCCCCAGGCTTTCAAAGCTAAGAAACCTAAATTACATTTAGCAGTTAAAGTCAATAGAAGACAATCGTATAAGGTGGAACCCCCTCCCTTTATCACTCATGGACAGAGTAGCTGCCTTAGAAATGATGGTCCTTCCCAAAGCAAACTACCTGTGCCTAAGATTGTGGTGGATTCAGGATTATTTCTTAGCTCAGAGGGTGCAATATATCTCAAGGCTTAAAGCTAACCAGCTATGACAAATGGATAGACGTAGAACAAAAACATTCTGTGATAATCTGGAAATCTCAGATTTGCCCTCTCCTCTCTGGCTCAAGTCCACAACGCTCCCCCACACTCTCAGGGTTTTGGGAGTGCGTGTGATCTATGAGTTGGGGTGAAAATTTAATTGCAGCTGTCAAAAAAGCACTAAATATTAAAGTTATCTTTAATATATCAGCGGGGATTGTCTCCACAAGCAGCCATCTTTTTTTTTTTCCACCTATTGAACAGGATGGCTGTTGCAAAATTTGGGAATCAAATCAGACCTATAAATCAACCTACACCAGTCTGGAAAGACAAAGTGCACCGATAATAGGATATAATGAGGAAATAGTTGACACTATTGTTCAAGCCATTGCTACATGGAATAACTGAAGAGTCATCTAAAAAGCTAAGTTTATTTGACTCTACAAGTCCATAGGAAAATATATAGACTGATAACATCAAGAAAGATGCTACAGAGCTGTGTTACTCACTTGCCCATGCTGTTCAAAACTGCAAAGAAACTCTGGTACAGTTTTTGCTGAGAGTTGTTGAATTGCAAACAAAGCCAAGTTTATGGGACCCAAAGGTGACTGATGGAGTCCTGCAGCAAATGACCACATCACAAAGAAGGAAGCTGTGAACAACCGCTAAAACAAAGATGAAAAGAGGGGTAGTAATTAGTGAGGAAAACGAGGTAACAGAGTATGTGTCCAAACCAAACCACAAGAGCAGCCCAGACTGCAGCTGTCAGCAGACTCTTTGATCTTAACAATAGAGAACAGCCAGAGACCGCAAATAGATGATGAGGTAAATATGTCCGCTATCTAATCCTGATGAGAAGTGCTCACTGTTACAAGTGTGGCAGCACAGAACACTGGGCATCAGGTAGTCGAATAAAAACATGTTGCAGCCAGCACCAACAGAAATAAGGTCCTGCAACATGCTGCTGAAATCACAGAGACAGCCAACCGGCTCAGTCACGGAGCCCCACTCACCAGTAAACAGCCACAAACAGCAAAGCTGCAATCGGAGAGATGTCTAGTTGGAACCTCTGTGGGTAAAGAGGATACCATGGTATTTTTCATTCCCACTAAGACCTGGTCCCACTGAACTGTTACAGCTTACACCCCCTCAGCTACATGGATACCCGCATAATCTGTGGGAGGAAGTTTGAGTCCCATATCTTGGATGTTCATTCCGAGATCTGATGAATACTTTACGAATATGAGGTAGGTACTGGCATGACAAAGAGAATGTGCCATCAAAGAAGGCCTAAGAAACTGACTGTGAACTTTTCACATTCAAAGTGTTTTATTTGGGGCATTTCATCTCCACAGAAGGATACAAGATGAACCCTAAAGAGTTAAGCACTGAAATGGAGACAGAAACCAACAGAGCGGGAGGAGAGAATCCTGATGGGATTCCTCACTTCTTAAAGATCTTAAATGCTAGGCTTTCCTTGAGGCATCATTCTACTAGTACCTACTCAGCTCAGAGCTACAGCTGACTCCTCCAAACAGTCAGACTTTCAGCTGCTGTGTTACATGACAGGAAGTGATTCTTTGGTATGATTTTATTTTTGTAAGATCCCTTTTTTTGCATGTTTATTTGTTTCGCATGTCGCTCTGTGACGCCCTCCCTCTGTAACCCCTCAACCACTGAAGTGAGAGGGCAGAGGGACACTGACCAACCAGGTGTCTCTGAGGTCTAATTGATACCACATTGAAGGAGCCAGGATGGAAGAGGATGTGCGTGATGGTTGGTTTGTTTTGGTGGAAAGCTGTTGGACACACAGGTTCCAGGATGTGGACCCGTAGGACCCGCTCTCCAGGAGAAGTCTGGCCAGACAGACAGGCGGTCATTCCTACGATCAGGGCAGAGAGGAGCCTCTGGCAGCCCCTGTGAGTGGTGTTTCACATCTGTCTGGGACCACTGCAGACTTCTCCCGGAGGCCTGCTGGCAGCACGGAGGGCTGCTTCACCGGTACTGGCGTCTCATACTGGAGAGGATTTTAAAGTGTCAGGAGTCCCCTGAGTTATGTCACCCAGTCAGCCAAACTCCATGCACTCAGACAGGTGGAGCAGGGTGGTGGCAAATACATTTGGGTGGTTATGGACCACTTCACCAAATATGGACAAGCATATGCTACAGAATACAAGTCAGGGAAGACTGCAGCCAGAAATACTGAGATAACTTCTTGGCTTCCCTTCCAAGATACACTAAAACCAAGGAAAATCAAAACAGTCTGTCTGGATCCAAGACGATCATGGCCTATGTGTGTGTTCTTGTGAGGATCTTTTTCTGATATCACCAGTTATTGTGTCCTTATTGACTCCTCATATTGATTCCCCATAAGATAAGATAGGCCTTTATTGTTGATGTCACTTTTCCAAAGGTTAAACTTTTCCATTAAACTTGGAGGAGCGGTTGACTCACAATGTGTTATAGAAACAAACAGAAAAAGTCTGGAGAGTGGATGGAAATGGTGCAACCTGGAAATACCTTAAGAAGTTGATATTTTTGTTTGGGACTTGTTTCAGGGAATAGAAACGGATATACATATTTGTATTTTGCTAAAATTATCTAAAAGGTTAGACTTTGAAACCACAGATACCAGCTGAAAGTCAAAATTGAAAGACAATTTAATGATAACAATGATGTTACATGAACATGGAGAGGTGCTGGGCTTTGTTCTATTCACCGTTTCTACATTGTGACCACATCTGTAAAGTGGTGGAGGAGGCTGGAGGTGCAGCCGGCCCTCTGAATAGACAGACGTGGTGCAGCTCAAGAGAAAATAACCTGAATGGCCATAATTCGTTTGACAAAGTAATTTTCCAAGTTCCTATTTCTACATTCAGTGACTTTGTTTTCAACATGCCAAGCTGTGCCTCTCAGTGAGGCTGCATTCTTCCCTTTTAAATCCTCCTTTGAGACAGTTTCAACATAAAAACTATTCATTAATTAGATCTGCACTACATTCCAGTCTGCAGTTGAGCACCTATTGAAAGTAAACTTTTAAGTTCTGATAGTCTAGCGTATTTTTTCAAATTAAACAAGCTCCATTCTCCCACCAGTCCAGTCCTTTAGACTTTTTTCAGTTATGCTGTTTTGTCATCCTTGTGTGCTTTTTCATTCTTTCAGCTTGGAAATTGTGGACAGGGATTAGATATTCCACTGAGTTTGATTAAATATAGCTGGATATAACCCAATCAATACAGTGTTATACAGGGACACAACACATTTAAGGTCAAATTGTTTGTAAAAAAAATCCTCTCTGATCCATTCTAATTGAAAACGTGTCAATCTTTCTATGAAAACAATATATTCAAGTTCAGAAGAAAGTCTACCTTCTTTACTTCTGAAGAAGCTGAAAGTTTAGCCGGTCCCTCCCTGCTCTGTGCAGGGACCCGCAGCCCTGTCCACTCCCTTCATAAAGCAAAGGGCTATCATATTCAGACGAACTATGAGAAGAATGTGAAAAGAATTCATTTTTACATCAGGTGGGGTCATAGTACATAGAGGGGTCTGTTCTCCCCCCCGTGCGTGTGCGTGTGTGTGTGTGTCTGCTATGGCCGCCCGTGCCCCGGTGTTCTCCCCAGGACGCAGCAGACTGTTGGTGTCTGTGTGGCTGACCCCATCACAGTCCAGAAAGTAGAGCCAGCACTCAGAAACACGCACAACAGAGAGAGCTGCCGGACAGCAGTTCAGACGCTCACACTCACCCGACGTGCACACAGAAAATGCTACGCTTCTTCCTGAATATGATAGCACCGGGGTTACCCAGGAATCAGTTACGTGAGGGGGAGTCTTTCATTTCAGTCTGCTGTGGACTTGTGTGTGTACATATACACAAAAAGATGGGGTTTATATTATTAAATTCATACTATTACTTACAAAGTGTCATTTAAAGAAGCATATACATTCCACTGGTAAATACACTAATCACATTCAATTTATATCCACTTACTGACAAGCTCAACTGATGCCATTAACTGACATTCTATTTTAAACAACCATATACAACTCATTTCACACCTCCACAATATCACCCTCCACCAGACTCCTCTTCCTCTCCTTCCAGTCAGTCCATCTTTGTGGTAGACCGTCCATGCGAGGCTGACCCAGAGAAAGGCCACAGATACACATGTTGTCAGCCCCAGGTCAATATGCTACAACCCATAAGAATGTAACTTATGGAACATTTCCAATCTTTGACATTTGGTGGTGGTACCTGAATGTATTTCCTTTAAAACGGGTCGGTTTCTCATTAGTGGGCAGAGACGAGTTGACTTAACATCCCATGACATGAAAGTCCACTAATGTTCTTGGCTGACCTAGGCGTGAAAAACGTTCACACTTATCCTCCTCCGGTTGGTAATTAATA